ATCACGTTGATTATCGTTTTGTATTATCGGCTTTATGCTTCATTTTATAGGTCACCACTCCACCTTTAAGTGTTTCACCCTTTTCTGCTAAAGTTACTGCTATACTACATCTTAGAATCCCATTCCTTCCCTGCCAAGGTTCTACCCATAGAACCTAAGAACTGACCAGGTAAATAGTGCTACAAACTTACTATATCCACAGAATTATTACAGATGAGATTCCTTCAAAGTTGTAGGGAGTTCTGATTCTCTATGTTGTATCTTTAGTTTTAAAGTTTTCCCCTTTTAATATACTCGCTAGAATCATAAGGATAGGCTTAAAAAAGATAAGCAAAAAGTTAACCAAGGCAACATTATTCTAAAATTTATTCTATGCACAGCAGTGATATCACAAAGCATTACTGAGCCTCTTTTTGAGACAAGACTTCATCAAGTAAGCAAGTCTAGCCTCAAGCTTAAGATCTTCTTTCCTCAGCCCTTGAATGCTAGGCTTATAGGCATGTGCTACTCCCCTCAACTCATGTTTGAGTTCATCTGTGTTTGGAGAAAGCTAATTCTATAAACTTAAGGAAAATAAGAGTTGCTATTTTGATTATTATTTAATAATTACTGATTACATATGTAGATTACATTATACATCAAACTTTTTGTTTGATAGGATCTTTGTATGTAGCCCATTCTGATTTGCAACTGGATATCTTTCTGCCTCAGCCTCACAAGTGCAGGGACTACAGGCATGTTCCACCACATCCTGCCTACTAGTTCACAATCTTTCTAGTCAGTGATTGTGAAAGTGCTATGTCAACATTTGCTCACAGAAGAAAGGATTTTCCAAACTTCATTCTTTCATGGATCTCTTAAGAATTCTGTATAGGGAGTTCTAGGTATTGCTTACTTTTATAGCACCCCAAGTTTTATGGAAAATCACTTTAAAATAGTTTTATCACTTATTATTAACTAGTTCTGTTTTTCAAAATTTTCCCCTTATTTCAAGCTTGCTGCACTTCCTGTTAAAGCTTTGTGTAAACCAAGGCAGTTCAAATGTAGTTCCTCAAAAATAAAAGGGAAGTACAATAAGAACAAGAAGGGCCAGAATCATAACATTCTTTGAAACATTTATCCTATAAAAATGTTTAAATAAAAAATTGAGCCAGGGCTAGGAAGGTAGCTCAGGAATAGAG